ACACGGGAGAACCCTGGGCAACGCAGGGCAACACTGGGCAACACGGGAGAACACTGGGCAACGCAGGGCAACACGGGAGAACACTGGGCAACGCAGGGCAACACGGGGCAACACTGGCAACGCAGGGCAACACAGGGCAACACTGGGCAACACTGGGCAACACAGGGCAACACTGGGCAACACAGGGCAACACTGGGCAACACTGGGCAACACTGGGCAACGCAGGGCAACACTGGGCAACGCAGGGCAAACTGGGCAACGCAGGGCAACACGGGAGAACACTGGGCAACGCAGGGCAACACTGGGCAACACAGGGCAACACTGGGCAACGCAGGGCAACACTGGGCAACACTGGGCAACAGGGCAACACTGGGCAACGCAGGGCAACACTGGGCAACGCAGGGCAACACAGGGCAACACTGGGCAACACAGGGCAACACTGGGCAACACTGGGCGACGCAGGGCAACACTGGGCAACGCAGGGCAACACTGGGCAACGCAGGGCAACACTGGGCAACGCAGGGCAACACTGGGCAACGCAGGGCAACACTGGGCAACACTGGGCAACACGGGAGAACACTGGGCAACGCAGGGCAACACTGGGCAACGCAGGGCAACACTGGGCAACGCAGGGCAACACAGGGCAACACTGGGCAACACTGGGCAACACAGGGCAACACTGGGCAACACAGGGCAACACTGGGCAACACTGGGCAACACAGGGCAACACTGGGCAACGCAGGGCAACACTGGGCAACGCAGGGCAACAAAGGGCAACACAGGGCAAACAGGGCAACAAAGGGCAACACTGGGCAACACAGGGCAACACAGGGCAACACTGGGCAACACAGGGCAACACTGGGCAACGCAGGGCAACACTGGGCAACGCAGGGCAACACTGGGCAACGCAGGGCAACACTGGGCAACACAGGGCAACACAGGGCAACACAGGGCAACACTGGGCAACACAGGGCAACACTGGGCAACACAGGGCAACACAGGGCAACACAGGGCAACACTGGGCAACACAGGGCAACACTGGGCAACACAGGGCAACACAGGGCAACACTGGGCAACACAGGGCAACACTGGGCAACACAGGGCAACACTGGGCAACACAGGGCAACACTGGGCAACACTGGGCAACGCAGGGCAACACTGGGCAACACTGGGCAACGCAGGGCAACACTGGGCAACGCAGGGCAACACTGGGCAACGCAGGGCAACACTGGCAACGCAGGGCAACACGGGGCAACACTGGGCAACACTGGGCAACACAGGGCAACACTGGGCAACACAGGGCAACACGGGGCAACACAGGGCAACACTGGGCAACACAGGGCAACACTGGGCAACACAGGGCAACACAGGGCAACACTGGGCAACACTGGGCAACGCAGGGCAACACTGGGCAACGCAGGGCAACACAGGGCAACACAGGGCAACACAGGGCAACACAGGGCAACACTGGGCAACACAGGGCAACACTGGGCAACACTGGGCAACACAGGGCAACACTGGGCAACACAGGGCAACACAGGGCAACACTGGGCAACGCAGGGCAACACTGGGCAACGCAGGGCAACACTGGGCAACAAAGGGCAACACAGGGCAACACTGGGCAACACAGGGCAACACTGGGCAACACAGGGCAACAGAGGGCAACACAGGGCAACTGGGCAACACTGGGCAACACTGGGCAACACAGGGCAACACTGGGCAACACAGGGCAACACAGGGCAACAAAGGGCAACACTGGGCAACACAGGGCAAACTGGGCAACACTGGGCAACACAGGGCATCACTGGGCAACACAGGGCAACACTGGGCAACGCAGGGCAACACTGGGCAACGCAGGGCAACACTGGGCAACACAGGGCAACACAGGGCAACACAGGGCAACACTGGGCAACACTGGGCAACGCAGGGCAACACTTGGCAACTCGGGGCAACACTGGGCAACACTGGGCAACACAGGGCAACACTGGGCAACGCAGGGCAACACTGGGCAACACGGGGCAAACTGGGCAACACTGGGCAACACAGGGCAACACTGGGCAACACTGGGCAACACAGGGCAACACTGGGCAACGCAGGGCAACACTGGGCAACACGGGGCAACACTGGGCAACGCAGGGCAACACGGGGCAACGCTGGGCAACACAGGGCAACACGGGGCAATACTGGGCAACACGGGAGAACACTGGGCAACACAGGGCAACACTGGGCAACACAGGGCAACACGGGGCAACACTGGGCAACGCAGGGCAACACTGGGCAACACGGGGCAACACTGGGCAACACTGGGCAACACGGGGCAACACTGGGCAACGCAGGGCAACACTGGGCAACACGGGGCAACGCAGGGCAACACAGGGCAACACAGGGCAACACTGGGCAACACAGGGCAAACTGGGCAACGCAGGGCAACACTGGGCAACACGGGGCAACACTGGGCAACACGGGCAAACTGGGCAACACTGGGCAACGCAGGGCAACACTGGGCAACATGGGGCAACACTGGGCAACACAGGGCAACACTGGGCAACGCAGGGCAACACTGGGCAACACAGGGCAACACTGGGCAACACAGGGCAACACTGGGCAACACAGGGCAACACTGGGCAACGCAGGGCAACACTGGGCAACACGGGGCAACACAGGGCAACACGGGGCAACACTGGGCAACGCAGGGCAACACTGGGCAACGCAGGGCAACACGGGAGAACGCAGGGCAACACTGGGCAACACAGGGCAACACGGGGCAACACTGGGCAACACACTGGGCAACGCAGGGCAACACTGGGCAACACTGGGCAACGCAGGGCAACACGGGGCAACACTGGGCAACGCAGGGCAACACGGGAGAACACTGGGCAACGCAGGGCAACACTGGGCAACGCAGGGCAACACTGGGCAACGCAGGGCAACACTGGGCAACGCAGGGCAACACGGGGCAACACTGGGCAACGCAGGGCAACACTGGGCAACGCAGGGCAACACTGGGCAACACGGGGCAACACTGGGCAACACAGGGCAACACTGGCAACACGGGGCAACGCAGGGCAACACAGGGCAACACGGGGCAACACTGGGCAACACAGGGCAACACTGGGCAACACGGGGCAACACTGGGCAACGCAGGGCAACACTGGGCAACAAGGGGCAACGCAGGGCAACACAGGGCAACACGGGGCAAACTGGGCAACACAGGGCAACACTGGGCAACGCAGGGCAACACTGGGCAACGCAGGGCAACACTGGGCAACACGGGGCAACACTGGGCAACACAGGGCAACACAGGGCAACACTGGGCAACACTGGGCAACACTGGGCAACACAGGGCAACACTGGGCAACACAGGGCAACACAGGGCAACACAGGGCAACACTGGGCAACACAGGGCAACACTGGGCAACACTGGGCAACACAGGGCAACACTGGGCAACACAGGGCAACACTGGGCAACGCAGGGCAACACTGGGCAACGCAGGGCAACACTGGGCAACACAGGGCAACACAGGGCAACACAGGGCAACACTGGGCAACACTGGGCAACGCAGGGCAACGCTGGGCAACGCAGGCAACACTGGGCAACGCAGGGCAACACTGGGCAACACGGGGCAACACAGGGCAACACTGGGCAACACTGGGCAACACAGGGCAACACTGGGCAACACAGGGCAACACTGGGCAACACTGGGCAACACAGGGCAACACTGGGCAACACAGGGCAACACTGGGCAACGCAGGGCAACGCAGGGCAACACTGGGCAACACGGGGCAACACTGGGCAACGCAGGGCAACACGGGGCAACGCTGGGCAACACAGGGCAATACTGGGCAACACGGGAGAACACTGGGCAACACAGGGCAACACTGGGCAACACAGGCAACGCAGGGCAACACTGGGCAACGCAGGGCAACACTGGGCAACACGGGGCAACACTGGGCAACACTGGGCAACACGGGGCAACACTGGGCAACGCAGGGCAACACTGGGCAACACGGGGCAACGCAGGGCAACACAGGGCAACACGGGGCAACACTGGGCAACACAGGGCAACACTGGGCAACGCAGGGCAACACTGGGCAACGCAGGGCAACACTGGGCAACACGGGGCAACACTGGGCAACACTGGGCAACGCAGGGCAACACGGGGCAACACAGAGCAAACACGGGGCAACACGGGGCAACACTGGGCAACGCAGGGCAACACTGGGCAACGCAGGGCAACACGGGGTAACACTGGGCAACACGGGGCAACACTGGGCAACACGGGGCAACACTGGGCAACGCAGGGCAACACTGGGCAACGCAGGGCAACACGGAGAACGCAGGGCAACACTGGGCAACGCAGGGCAACACGGGGCAACACAGGGCAACACGGGGCAACACTGGGCAACGCAGGGCAACACTGGGCAACGCAGGGCAACACGGGGTAACACTGGGCAACACGGGGCAATACTGGGCAACACGGGGCAACACTGGGCAACATGGGGCAACATGGGCAACATGGAGCAACACTGGGCAACATGGGGCAACACTGGGCAACACTGGGCAACAGGGCAACACTGGGCAACACTGGGCAACACTGGGCAACGCAGGGCAACACGGGGCAACACTGGGCAACGCAGGGCAACACGGGAGAACACTGGGCAACGCAGGGCAACACTGGGCAACGCAGGGCAACACTGGGCAACGCAGGGCAACACTGGGCAACGCAGGGCAACACGGGGCAACACTGGGCAACGCAGGGCAACACTGGGCAACGCAGGGCAACACTGGGCAACACGGGGCAACACTGGGCAACACAGGGCAACACTGGGCAACACTGGGCAACACGGGGCAACACAGGGCAACGCAGGGCAACACTGGGCAACACAGGGCAACGCAGGGCAACACTGGGCAACGCTTCTTCTGTCTCTGATTTGAACAGTTCTCTGATGAACAGTTCTCTGATGAACAGTTCTCTGATGAACAGTTCTTTGTCCTCCAGGTTCTGCTCAGACCATTTCATTCTACAATAAGGACCAAACCGGTGAAATCCAGAGAGTCACGTTTGACCACAGGCTGGTGAAGAAGATCTTCCATGGCAGCTTCCACAAGGTAAGCCTTGAAGGCCCCTCCCCCACCTGCTGCTGCTCACATCAAGACATCTGAGTCGTGAAACGTTTTCCTTCTCTAAGGAAAAAAATTTGGGGGAGTCTCTTTGTTCCTCCCAGTCCAGATGAAATCATCTGAGGCGGTCAGATGGCGCCCCCTGCAGGTTGGAGGCAGCGCAAGACGCACCAGGCGACACTTGTCTCGATTCCTGAACCATTTCCAGACCATCCATAAATATTCCACAGCGCCGTTTTTTTATCCAAATATATCTCAGGAAACATTTGATGTTTTGATTTGTAAACCGTGAATTATTCCTAGAAATCTAGAAACCGTTTTGTTTAGTTTGTATTCATCAGATGTGAGAGTTGCTGCTAAACGTTTCATGACTTCATGATGGTTAGTAACAAACACACAGCACCGATGGTCAGTAATCCACTTCCTCCCTCCTGGCACCACTTCCTGCTACAACTTCATGTCATCATGTGCCACTTCCTGCTGCCACTTCCTGTAGCCAGACACCGCTTCCTGTAGCCAGGCGCCACTTTCTGTAGCCAGACACCACTTCCTGCTGCCACTTCCTGCCCCAGGCATTACTTCCTGATGCCATGTTTGGAATTCCAGCGGTGGCGCCTGTGAAACGGGTCCAGTAAACCCAGTGGCGGTTCTGGAGAGGAGGCGAGCCGGTCCGGTTGTCCTCAAGTTCTGTGCAGGACCAGAACGTTTTTCTGATCTAAGTTCTGGACTCGGTTCCTTCTTTGTTCTGGTTCCAGGTCCAGTCAGGATTTTCCAGGGACCCGTGATTCATGTTTTCTGTAAATCAGTCCGAGTGAGATGCTGTCAATGTGATCCTATCTGTGTTTTCCAGTTGGAAGGAAAAAGGGAAGTCCGACTGCAGCAAACCGTCCGGTCCAGGCCCGGGAGCTCAGGCCCAGTTCTGATCTCTAGGGAATCAAACCATTAGATGTTCTCACAGAGATGGAGATGTTTTACTCTGACATGTGAACCAGAACCGGGCCCAGAAGGCCCACTGACCCGTGTTCTCCTCCCTCAGCTCCACATCCTGGTTTCCTCCAGCAGCGTGAAGCTGAAGGTCGACTGCCAGGAAGTGGAGGAGAAGAAGACGAAGGCGGCCGGCAACGCGTCCAGAGACGGGTACCAGGTTCTGGGCAAGATGGCCAAGTCCATCGGGTCCAAGGGCCAGTCAGCTACGGTGAGTCAGTGGCCCCCAAACCAGGAACCCTGGATCCATCCAGGAGAAAACGTTCGACAAAATATCAGACCAGAAACGGATTATCAGCAAAACAGGCAAGACTGAATCATAACAGAATAAATCCCAGTAATATTTAAGGTATCTAAACCACACGAGGAAGCGGTCTGGGTCTCAGGCTGCAGTAACTGGATCCAGACCTGCTGCTGCTTTTCCTGTTTACGGATCAGAACCAGAACCGTGTCCAACATCATGTTGTTCTGTTTCCTCCTCAGTTCCAGCTCCAGATGTTTGACATCGTCTGCAACCTGGCCTGGACCAGCCGGGACCGCTGCTGCGACCTGCCCTCCATGGTGAGTCCCGCTCAAAGCCCGCAGGGTTCTGTTCCCGACCCGGTTTCCCTCTGAGCTTCGGTTGGGTTTGTTCCAGAACTTACAAGTCACTTTCAGATAAAGGATTTTATTTTAGAGCTTTTCTGGTTCGTTCTGGAACCCGAAGTGTCCTACTCTGCATCTCCAGACCCGAGCTGAGCTCACAGGAACATGCAAGTCAGTCCGGTCCGGTCCGGTCCAGTCCGGTCCGGTTCGTTCCCCTGGAGGTTCTGAATTGGCACCTTTAGGCTGATGGCAGCAACGCAACCGACCGCAGCAAACCTGATTACTTCTGCTTCCAGTTCAGAACCAGAACTAGAGGCGGTTTGGTACCGGTTTCCTTCCTCTAGGCTGTGTTGACCTTTGACCTGTGTTTGTCCTGCAGAGAGACGAGCTGAGGTGCCCCGCCCTACCCAACGCCTGCACCTGCACGTCGGAGGCCAGCGGGCAGCCGGGCCCCCAAGGACCGGTGGTGAGTCAGCGCTAAGGCCCGGTTCACCAACCCAGCAGAACCACCCATCTGGAACCAGCAGTTCTGGAGACTCCGGAATTGGATTAGGACCGCTGATGTAGCCGCTCAGTGAACACAGGGAGGACGCAACATGTTGCCTCAGGTTGCTGCAACATGTTGCCTCTTGTTGCTGCAACATGTTGCCTCTTGTTGCTGCAACATGTTGCCACTTGTTGCTGCAACATGTTGCCTCTGGTTGCTGCAACATGTTGCCTCTTGTTGCTGCAACATGTTGCCTCTTGTTGCTGCAACATGTTGCCTCTTGTTGCTGCAACATGTTGCCTCTTGTTGCTGCAACATGTTGCCTCTGGTTGCTGCAACATGTTGCCTCTTGTTGCTGCAACATGTTGCCTCTTGTTGCTGCAACATGTTGCCTCTGGTTGCTGCAACATGTTGCCTCAGGTTGCTGCAACATGTTGCCTCTTGTTGCTGCAACATGTTGCCTCTGGTTGCTGCAACATGTTGCCTCAGGTTGCTGCAACATGTTGCCTCTGGTTGTTGAAACATTTCTGTGTTGCATCATTCTACGATCGGAAGGTTATCACACGGCGCCGCAATGTGTTGCCGCAGCAGCAGCAGCAACGTGTTGCAGCAGCAACGTGTTGCCCAACGTGTTGCCGCAGCAGCAGCAGCAACGTGTTGCCGCAGCAGCAGCAGCAACGTGTTGCAGCAGCAACGTGTTGCCCAACGTGTTGCCGCAGCAGCAGCAGCAACGTGTTGCCGCAGCAGCAGCAGCAACGTGTTGCAGCAGCAACGTGTTGCCCAACGTGTTGCCGCAGCAGCAGCAGCAACGTGTTGCCGCAGCAGCAGCAGCAACGTGTTGCAGCAGCAACGTGTTGCCCAACGTGTTGCCGCAGCAGCAGCAGCAACGTGTTGCCGCAGCAGCAGCAGCAACGTGTTGCAGCAGCAACGTGTTGCCCAACGTGTTGCCGCAGCAGCAGCAGCAACGTGTTGCCGCAGCAGCAGCAGCAACGTGTTGCAGCAGCAACGTGTTGCCCAACGTGTTGCCGCAGCAGCAGCAGCAACGTGTTGCCGCAGCAGCAGCAGCAACGTGTTGCCGCAGCAGCAGCAGCAACGTGTTGCCGCAGCAGCAGCAGCAACGTGTTGCCGCAGCAGCAGCAGCAACGTGTTGCCGCAGCAGCAGCAGCAACGTGTTGCCGCAGCAGCAGCAGCAACGTGTTGCCGCAGCAGCAGCAGCAACGTGTTGCCGCAGCAGCAGCAGCAACGTGTTGCCGCAGCAGCAGCAGCAACGTGTTGCCGCAGCAGCAGCAGCAACGTGTTGCCGCAGCAGCAGCAGCAACGTGTTGCCGCAGCAGCAGCAGCAACGTGTTGCCGCAGCAGCAGCAGCAACGTGTTGCCGCAGCAGCAGCAACGTGTTGCCGCAGCAGCAGCAGCAACGTGTTGCCGCAGCAGCAGCAGCAACGTGTTGCCGCAGCAGCAGCCTGGCCTCCTGCAGCTCACTCTGTGTCCCCGCAGGGCGCTCCCGGCAGTAAGGGGCCCCGAGGAGAGCGAGGCGAGGCCGGAGCTCCGGTGAGTTTCTCTGATCAAAGATCCTCTCCGCTGCAGGACGCTCCACTCGTTACATGCTTCATGCTGCTCTCTGTGCTTCAGGGGCCAGCGGGCCTCCCGGGAACATCGGACCCCCGGGGCCCATGGGTCTGCCCGGCCCCCAGGGGCCCAGCGGCATGTCCATCCCTGGAGAGGCCGTAAGTCCGACTCACATGCCTGGACTTCCTGTCAGATTTTAACATCCATCATTTTCCTACGAAACCAAAGAGAAAAAGATCTTTGCTCTGGTTCTGACCCATTCGGTTGGTCGGTACTGGCCCGGTCCAGAAGGGAATCCTGATTTGTCCTGTTGGCAGTTTTTCCTTCCACTAACTGCAGGCAACAGATTCTCCTCCATGTTGGTCCGAATCCTTTAAACCCGACTGGATCAGAGCTTCACGATAAACCTGGATCAGAACCGGATAAGTTCTACTGTCAGTGAACCGGGCGGTTCTGATCCAACTCCCTCTGCTCTCCTCCTCAGGGTCGGCCGGGACCGAAGGGAGACCCCGGAGACTCCGGCCTGCCGGGACAGAAGGTGAGCCCGGTTCTGCTCCGGTTCCGGAGCAGAAGCAGATAAAACTCATGTTCTGACAACCGAACCGGCTCTGGATCGGACCTGGCCGGGTCCAGGACGTTCTGAGTGGCAGCAGTTTGTTGTTAGTGTTGGAACACGTCCTGCTGGTTACCATGGCGTTAATCCAGCTGCTGAGCTTTAATCTGGAATATCGCAGCCAGAACTCATGATGGGAAGGTTCTGATGGCGGTCCGATCAGAACCTTCCTTCTGCTGATCCAAACCAAAGAAAGGAGAGGAGCCAGGAATTACAAGAAGGAGTGAAGATTTGGGATTATTTTAGATTATTTAGAGACATAAAAACCCAATCATTTAGTTCCAGAACCGGATCGGAGCTTCAGGAAACTCCAGGTTGGTTCTGACCCTGTTTTTGTTCAGCTAGAACCAGAACCAGTCGTTTACAGCTCCAGATTCTGAGTTTTAAAGAAACAATCCAACACCAGAACCTCTGTGAATCCGATCAGAACCAGCTAGACTTCATGGTTCTGATCTGCAGGTGAACCCGCTCCGACAGAACTAAGTCTTTGGTCACTCCCAGCTGACCCGACCCATAGATCGCTAATAAATCAGAAACATCAGAGGAGCCGCAGAAATATGACAAACGACCCGGTTCCGGGTCCAAATGCGTCCACTTCTGGGTACGGACAGCAGAACTTCAACTTATCTGGTTCCGCAGGGTTCTCCTGGTGCCGTCGGTCCCGTTGGACCCGACCTTCTGGAGTGAGGGTGAGTGCCGAGTGGCTCGCTTCTGTCAGAACTCAGGCAGTTCTGGTTCTGAAGCCCGGTTCTCCTGTTTCCAGGGACCTTCAGGAAAGGAGGGACCAGCCGGACCCAGAGGACCACCAGGACCCATGGTGAGACCGCCAGAGGTTCTGGACCTATTGGACCTACTGGACCTATTGGACCTACTGGACCAATTGGACCTATTGGATCTACTGGACATACTGGACCTATTGGACCTATTGGACCTATTGGACCTATTGGACCTATTGGACCTACTGGACCTATTGGACCTTTTGGACCTATTGGACCCATTGGACCTACTGGACCTATTGGACCCATTGGACCTACTGGACCTATTGGACCTCTCTGTGTTTCCTTGCAGGGTCCTCCAGGAACTCCAGGAATTCAAGGCCCTTCAGGACAGCCTGGGAACCCTGGGGACCTTGGCCCCCCGGTGAGTGTCTGTAATCTCCGAACATTTCTTGAGTTCTGCTCCTGAAGGTCCAAATGTTCTGATTCTGCTTTGCTTCCAGGGATCCGTTGGTCCAAAAGGAGACAAAGGAGAGCGGGTGAGTCCGGTCGTCTCCAGCTGAACATGTCAGAATCAAAAACCCCATTTTATATTTACTGTTCACCTGCGCAATGCATGCTGGGACGTTAACTCTGTTCGGTGATAATGGACTGGAGGCACAAAAACCTCCAGGAAAACTGCTGTTAAAGATGACATTAGCTAACACCGTTAGCAGGAACTGTAGAGCTAACACTGTTAGCGTGAGCCGTAGAGCTAACACTGTTAGCGGGAGTCGTAGAGCTAACATTGTTAACGGGAGCCGTAGAGCTAACATCGTTAGCGGGAGTTGTAGAGCTAACATCGTTAGCGGAAACCGTAGAGCTAACACTGTTAGCGTGAGCCGTAGAGCTAACATTGTTAGTGGGAGCCGTGGAGCTAACATCGTTAACGGGAGCCATGGAGCTAACACCGTTAGCGGGATCCATTATAAGATATTTTTTGAGAAAGGTTTATTTTAATGGAAAGAGATTGAGATTGTTTAGCACCGTCAGACGCTAGAGCTGTTAGCCATTTTCTCAATTAGGAAGCTGCAATCAAAATAAATCTTCATCTTCTTGGGAGTTTTTTCCGTCTCTGTCCTCTTCCTCAGTTTGTTCCTCTTCATCTCCTTTTTGTTTCTGGTTTCTTCTATTTCTCTGGTCCAAAAGGCTGAAGGTTTCTCATTCTGTGTAGTAACGAGCATTCGTCAATTAGCAGGAAGCGCGCTAACGTCAACAACATGTCGTCATGGTGATTTTATCAGACTCTAAGCTGGCTGCTCTTTGTTGCCGCAGGGCGACTTCGCCCCCCAGAACATGATGCGCTCCATCGCCCGCCAGGTCTGCTCCCAGCTGGTCAGCGGTACGTAGCCGCCGCTAAGCTAAGCGTCGCTAAGCTAAGCGTCGCTAAGCTAAGCGTCGCTAAGCTAAGCGTCGCCCCCTGCTGGTTCTGCTCAGGAACGCTCTCCGTTCTGTTTCAGACCAGATGAGCCGGGTCAACACCATGCTGAACCAGATCCCCAACGGGAACTACCGCAGCAGCAGCAGCCCGGGCCCGCCGGGGCCGCCGGGGCCGCCGGGCAGGCAGGGGCCCCGCGGGAGCCCGGCGCCGGAGGCAGGAACGGGTTCCCCGGCAGCCCCGGCCAACCCGGCCAGCAGGGCGAGAGAGGTAGGTCCGGAACCGGAACCGGAACCGGAACTGGAACGTGTTGAGGACAGCTCAACATGTGACCCGTGGTGTGTTCAGGTCCCGCAGGAGAAAAAGGTGACCGAGGAGTCCCAGGAGTCGGACAGAAAGGACCCAGAGGGCCGCCAGGTACCAGAACCCATCGGCCGAGTCAGAACAGAACCAGATCACTAAGAGTTCAGCTGTTCACACTCTGTCTTAAACCAGATTATTAATCTGGATTATTAAACCAGATTAATGACAGATTAAATGAAGCCAGTGATCTTGGTCCTGAACTTCCTCTTCCTGTTTGTTCCGAATCATTTCTACTCTTTTTGTTTATCTGAAGGATAATTTATTCTCTGGAATATTGATCACACTTTGGCCAAAAATCCTAATGAAATAATTATATTAAAGCTCAGTGGCTTTTATTTTGAAAAGCCACAGGCTTTTATTGTCTAATGAAACAGGAAATGCTCCTGCTCCTAACCTTACAGAATCAGGAAGTGTTTGACCTGAACTCTGACCCCCAGGTCCTCCAGGAGAGAGTCGGACCGGGACCCCGGGCCCCTCAGGCTCTCCCGGGCCCCGCGGCCCTCCAGGACGTCCGGGTTACGCCGGGGCCCGTGGCCCCCCGGGGCCCCCGGGCTACTGCGACTCCTCGCAGTGCGTGGGGATTCCCTACAACGGCCAGGGATACATAGGTACGTTGGAGGAGGAATGGTGATGTGGGAACGATCCTCTGGTGACGAGTCTGGGTCCAGGAGTGGATCAGAACCGCACCACTGAACCGGATCAAAGACCCAGTTCAGTTCCAGTTCAATTCTGGCCCTCACTGGATGGTTCTGACCCGTCCTGACCGGTTCTGAAATGGTTCTGGAGCAGCAGAACCTTGGAATGATGGTCCGGTCCGAAGTCCTGCCCATGCAGGCGGCGGGTCGGAACCTGGACCCAGACTCTGAGCAGTTGTGCATGTGTTGAGCTGATGGTTCTGACCCGGTCCATCCTGTCTGGCCCGTTTCAGGTTCACCGTATAATTAGCCTTGTAATGCCGCCTGTGCTGCTTTCACTGACTGCCAGAACAAACACTGTTAGAACCGCTTAGAGGAAACCGCCACCGGAAACACTTAACCAGCAGCGAGGGGAGCCGTACTAACCGCAGCGGCGCCACCGACCCGCCGGGCTCAGTGGAGGAGCATGAGCAGAACCGCAGCCCATACTAACAGAGGTGGATTAACAGAGACGGGTCGTCCTGAACCCGGCTTTAACCCGTAACCCGGCACCGCTCCTCTGTGACCCCGGAGGGTCAGGTTCCTCTCCATCCACAGAACCTTTCCTCTGTGTTCTCCTAAACTGGGTTTCTGTCAGTAACCAACTCTGCTTCAATCTGTGTGATCAGGTCACCTGACTAACACCTGCAGGGGGCGTGGCCTCTGCATCTGACTGCTCATCAGGACCTAAATGAAAATCTGCAGGATGGACAAACATTCAGAATATTTACTCAAACTTTCTGGATTATTTTTAGAAGAATTGAATCACGCTAACTAAAAAGTCAGCCGCGCAACTCTAAAAGAGTAATCGAAACCATTCCTTCTGCTAACGCTAAGGTACTTTATTAATGTGGTATTAATGAAAGCTACTTCTAATCCTGAAGCACTAATCATAAACATTAGTTATGCTAACACTGAACTGCTATCTTGACATTGTATTTATCCAACTCTAAAGCTAACCCTAAAGCAGTAATGCAAAAATATTATTTCAGCTAATGCTAAAGCGCTAAACCAGGGGTGTCAACATTCAGTCCTGCAGGGCCGCTGTCCCATCTTTTAGATGTGTCTCTGCTGCACCTGAATAGAATAAAAGGTCATTAAGGCTCTGGAGAACAAGGAGGAGGTAATTCAGCCATTTCATTCCTGTGTTTGTACCTGAGTACATCAGAAGACTGCAGGACAGCGTCCCTAAGGACTGCAGTTTGACACCCCTGCGCTAAACCAATATGGTATTAAACTAAAGCTAAAGTAGCTTTACTAATCTTAAACATTAGTTCAGCTACTACTATATAGCACTTTAGCAACCAAGTAGTTAGATTAGCCGCGCAACTCTAAGATTACTTCTGCTAATTTCACTTGCTACACTGAGAAGCTCGTGCTAAAACGCTAACTTCAAATGCGCCAAGAGGAAATGAGACTGTTGAGTAAACAGCATTCAGCCCCTTCAAAATAAGTGCACGAATGTAATAATCTACTACTTGAATAATTCTGACCAATCGATAGTCAAAACTTTGACACAAACTTCATTAATCTGAGAAATGAAGGGGAGCTACGTGCGCTCAACGTTTTCAAAGTTAGCAGATGTTTGCCCACCGCTAATTTTCAGAATGAATCAGTATCATCATCTGGACTGAACAGAACTGTTCTGGTTCTGTGTTGGTTGCTAGGCAACAGTGGTCCGTTTTCAAACAACTGGAGGTTCTGATTCCAGGTTCTGGACCAGAACATGAAGGGCTCACATGGTGGGTTCTGGTTGAGGCCCGGTGGACCCGTTCTGGTTCTGACGCTGTTGGGTCTTTTGGTTCCCGCCAGACGTTGGGTCCGGGTTAGACCGAGTCCCGTTTTTGTCCAGTCTGGATCAGAACCAGAACAGAACCTCTCGCTGCTGTTAGCTGTCAGACGCATTGGCCACGCCCCTTCTCCATGTGGCCACGCCCCCTGCTGTGACTAACCTGTGCCGTCTCACTAACTTGCGCATGCTCAGAGCGTGCAGTCGTCTGTCCTCGTTAATCTCAACGCAGCGTCTCCGAGCAGGAACCCGGGCCGGCGCCGCGCCCCAGGAGAACCAGCTGCTCCAGAACCAGCGCCGGAAGAGGGCGCTGCCCAGAACGCCGTCTGACGGGCTGACGTCATCAGCGCGGCGGCCGAACGCCTGAAGGTGTTTGTGAATACTGTTTGGCGCGGCGGTGTCGGCACTGGAGGAGGGAGTGTTTGACCCAGTTCTTAGAACCGGAGGAGGTTCTGCTTGGGACCAGTAAACCCAGTAAAGCCTGTGAGCTTCCCGTTTTCCTGCCTGTAACATATTTGCATAGAGTGAGTGTTAAAGCCGCAGCTTCAGGTCCAGTATAACTCGGCTTCATGTGTATCTTAGTATTTATCAGTTGCTTCATTCTGTCACGCGCCGCTTCCTGTTGTTCTACCGGGTCGAGTCAGAACTTTTCAGACGCAGCATCACTTTTTATTGTTTTAGCTGCAGATTGTGAAATCCACAGCCGTATTTTCTTATTTATTTCTGAAAACGGAAGAGGCATTTTTCAATAAAACTACTGAAAATCTCTGGGTGGCCTGCAGTTTTGTGGTTCCTGACGAGACAAAGAGCTGCGGACAGCCTGTGGTTCTGGTTCTGGTTCCGGTCCGTAAAACCAGCCATGGAGAAATGAAAATATTCTGGATGGACGAACAAACTGTTGGATGAGTGGTTGGATGAACGCCTCTGTCTGGTTCTGGTTCTACTTCTCTGGTTCTGGTTCTTCTCTGGTTCTGGTTCTTCTCTGGTTCTGGTTGGAGGTTCTGGATCTTCCTGGAGCTCTGGGTTGTCATGGTGACCTGAGCTGGTTCTGCTGACGTCACCCAGTGCTCCCAGCAGCAGCAACTGCATCTGCTGCGCTGTTGAAGCTGGAGGACATGCAGGCGGATCTCCCCACAGCGCCCCTGGTGGTGCCCTCCTGTCATTGCATCGGTTCAACCAATCGATCAATAAATAATCAGACTGTTTATGATCTTCACTCTGAAATCAAGACACTTAAAGAATAAGAAGAGAGTCACATTAGTGCAACAAAATGCTTTATTTCAGGTACAACTATCTGCCAGTGCGGCAAGAAAATTACATTAAAATGTAAAAAAAAGCGCTTAATTTAAAATTGTAGAAATATCAATTTAACCCTTAATGCTTAAAAAAGAGATTTTAAACCTAATTTATGAATTTATTTTAAGGGGGATGAAAAACAAGCAGTGAAATATGATTATATTTATAATATATAAATATAATCATCTTTATGACTATATTATAATATAATCATAAAGATTTCACTGGAAACCATAAAAATCTCTTCATTATTAAAACCTGTATGAACATTTTAAACATCCAGTTGGAATAAAAATATTAAATTTATTTAATCTGATTCAGATGAGCTCTGGTGAATTTTAAGGACACTTCCTCTCTGAATAAATAAAATAATTAAATCTTTATGGTTTTAAACCATGTTTTTCATTCCATAATAACCGGTTACTGGGAGCGACTGGAAACCAGTTCAGGGAATATTTACACACAGGAAGTGAAAAACTTGATTTTACTTCAGTTAAAATAATAAACTGGATTTGCTGAATATCTGTAACTGTTAATAAACTGAATTAAAATGAATTATGGGATGCTGCGGTGGTGCTGCGGTGGTGCTGCACGTGGGGCCCCTGTAGCGCCGGTTCAATTCCCGCCTTGGTGACCTTTGCCCTGTCTTCTCTTTCCTGTTAATTCACCATCAAATAAAGGAAATTATAAAACCTTGAAAATGTCTGGTGTTTATAAAACTGTATGTTGACAGTTGTTTGTGAAATGAACAGCAGCACTTTAGTTGTTCGCAGGAAATATGAGTTTTTATCTCCATGTTTATTAACGTCTCAGTTTCAACTAAACGTTTAGCTTCATAATTCTGTATTTAGTCTCCATGAGTTTTCAGGATGTTAGACTGAATGAGCCTGAAGTTCAGAGAGCTTTTAAATCCCTGGTGGGGTTCCGCTCTGATGGGTTTCATTATTTGCCTCCCATAGAGAGGGCCCCAGAGTCAGGGCCCCATAGAGAGGGCCCCAGATTCAGGGCCCCATAGAGAGGGCCCCAGATTCAGGGCCCCATAGAGAGGGCCCCAGAGTCAGGGCCCCATAGAGAGGGCCCCAGAGTCAGGGCCCCATAGAGAGGGCCCCAGAGTCAGGGCCCCATAGAGAGGGCCCCAGAGTGAGGCCCACATGTCAGGGCCCCAGAGAGAGGGCCATGTTCTCAGGTTGGATTCGGTTCTGAAACTGCACCAACGTTTAAAGACAGAAACTTTTATAACCAGCTGGTTTCCTGGCGACTTCCTGCTCTCATCGCCGCTGGACTAAAGGTCGTGTCTGTGACCTTTTCAGAGTTTCCTGGAGCTTCGCTATTTGCTTTGTGAATCAGAGCAAATGTTGCTGAAGCCACATGCAGCAGAGTGTTGGTGGTGAGGCGCTGACTCATCGGTCATTGGGTCCAGATGTGGAGAAGTGAACACATCTGTGGTGGACCGGCCCGGTTTCACAACCCAGACGATGCAGAACAAGATTTACTCCACAAACTTGAAGCCAGCGCTGCGCCGCGTCTGTCCGCCTTCGTCTGCTGGCTCTCTGCGCTTCTCTTCATTTGTTCTGAATTAGCAGAACAAAAGCAACTTAATGTGAGCAGAGGGAGCAGAACCGCAGGTTCTGATGTGAGACCACAAGGTGTTGGCTCAAGCAAAACATTATGACTACATGCCGTCACCACACTCACTGTACGGCGGCCATTTTGACAGTTAGTCAACAACTAAAGGCAATAATCTTTCAAAAGAGGAAAAGCAAAATCCAGTCATTTTTCCACCATCTTCTTTCTTCACTTGTAAATATAGTTTTTAGTCTAAATGTTCATTTTGAAGCTTTTGTTGCTCATTAATATTTCGCTTCACATTGAATATTTAGTTTGAAACTAAAAGTAAAAGTAAAACGTCTTAGAATGTAAGATGCCAATATCAATCAAACCTATGTATCAATAAATTGTTATAATTCAGAGA